TGGGACCAACGAGATCACGGAACCGAACCCGGGAAAGGGTAGACGCCAATTTTAATTCGTACGAGGAGGGAGAATAAGAGAACCCCACTCCTTGTAACACCAAGCCCCACTCCGAAGGTACAAAAACTCAAGCGGGGTCCAACGGGGCCCAAGGCTCCAAAGTCAACCCCTCCCTGCCCCGGAAACCTCACCCCAAGGACCCGGGACCAAGCTGTACTCCAAACCCCCTGCCTCTAAAGAAAAGGCAGGAGCCGCTTACTGAAAAAGCAGGAATGAGAGGGGCCCACTGGTCAGACTCAGAAGCTTATGCTGGAAAACCAGGTTCGAATGCCTCCGCTGCCACCCCAGAAGAGGACTCCCCTGAAACAGCCCAAGTCTCAACACCAACTAAACCTCCCAAGACCCCCCCAACCCGGGGGATAGGACCAGGATGCACAACTGAAGGGGAAGGACTAGAGGGTGCTGATGAAACCAAAGCCGAGGCGACGAACACCCACAAGTACGGGTCCCTATAGCCAAATAGCCAAAATGAAGCAGTCTCGGGGTATCTAGGGAAGCAACCAACCTTGTGCATTGCATCAACCTGCATGTGATGCTGAAGCTGCCTGCACCTGCATACAATCATTTTTAGATTGGGTGAACTGGGGTATGTACAAGCAACAAAATTCACATGACTCCGGGTCAAAAGTTTCACCGACCCAACAGGCAGCATGGCGGAGGCACAACTGGTGACTGTCACCCTGAGACAAGGGGACAAAGCAACCTTTCTACTCGCACGAAGTGAGAGGGGATCCAGGGATAGCATCCACTGGACCACAGAGCCTCCCGCGATGTTTTCCAGGGCCCTTAGTCATGGTATTCCGCTAAGGGAAGCCCAGGCAGGGTACTGCTAGCTGGTGCCCAAAACTACCAAGCAAACTGCTAAAGCTGAACCCCTGAGGCATGTACACTCACGGGGGCCTAGCAGAGGACCAATAAGTAACAATAGGATCTGACTAACCAAGTGGCAGAAAATATGTCGCTATGCGAGCTGATATTTAGCTGCACATTATCCTGCACCCCTACCATTGACGAAAACTACCCCCTACCCAGAGAAAAACAGGGGAGCACAGAAACCCCAGCTGACTCCAAGGGCTGTCAATCACCTCGCAGCAAAAGACACAGAGGAGGTAGATCCCAAGGCAACTTGTGAAAGGTGGCCCCAAGCCCCAAGGGCAGTACTTACAGGGCACCTAGGGAAGGAAACCCTAGATGCACGCAGCCCAAGTACAGTACTGAAGAAATTACTCCTGGCTCGCACACCGACCATAGAGACAGCACCACACCACAAGGCACAGAACTCAAACAATTTTCTGAAGCCAGAGGTATACAACCTTGCCTGTGTCACATCAGCCAAGAACTGAGGGGTGGCTTGCTGGCACGAGGGTCTGGGGCTCCCCCTTCCCCCTCCCGGGGAGTGGGGGCAGGGGTTGCGCAGACAGTGGCGCGGCAACATGATGACGTCATTCTAGTTTGCTAAATTTTCATTCGGGGAGTTCTGTCCACTTGTTCGGCTTTCGGTAGCAATATTTTCACCAGAATAGGGGTTTGTTTTGGTGCGCCTACCTTTTCTGGGTGTCTGACCCAGTCAATGGCAGACATAGAATGCTTCCAACTATACGGGGGTTTCTATAGGCCATTGCTCCTCTTACCTCTCTGAGGGAGCCAGATTCTGGCTCGTGGTCCCTGGTAGGCCCAAACTCCATGCATTTTGACTGATGCCAGAAAGCTGGCATCAGTCAAAGCAGTCGAACCACCTGCCCACGGGAAAAGGAAGAGGGGATGAGGACAGAACCACGGCTGATGCAACCAACACTCCCAAAACTAAAACCCTGAACACCACCAAATGAGGTTGTTCCAGGGCATGCAACTGGGTACACAACCTAGCCCGCTGCTAAACAGAAAACCCGAAATGCAAAACAGCTGCCGTTGATATTTCTGAGCTGCCACAGATGAAAAAATAAAACAGAGCACATGGGAAGAAAAAGTCCTACATGACTCAGGGGTCAAAGGTGTCACTGACCTAACAAGCAGCACGGCAGAGGCAGAACATATGAACACTGCCAGATGGCACAGGCGACGAACAAACCTGAAGTTTGCACAAGGTGAGAGCGAACTTGGAAGAGGTATTCCTAGTACAACCAAGCCCATAGGGGTTTTTCCAGGGGCCCTGCAGGAAGCCCAGGCACTGGGGTTGCCTTGCATTGATGCCGGTGAACACTATCGATGCAGGCAACCAAGCCAACTGAAGCCAAAGAAAAAGCCGAAGGGCCAGCACACATCCTAGGCAAGCCTAATAAGGCAAAATGCAGAACTCTAAGACAAAACCATGGTGAAAGAGCAACTAAGGAGAAATGTCGCCATGCCTTATATTAACTAAATAACTTGTCGCGCAGACTGTAGTGCACTCTACCAGACAAAAGCACCTCCAAACTCGAGGAAAAACAGACAGTCACAGACCACCAGCTTACCTTAAGGGTGAATACCACCACTAGCGAGGAAGGCAATCCTGATTGCACAGGGGAAGGGAGCCCTGAGCACATGTGGCTCCAGTACACTAAACTGCTGGCTCACACACAACTCTTGTGTAATAAAACAGCCTCAAAGGCAAAACACCACTCGAAAAACAGGAGACTTAAGCCAGATTGACGACGCTAAAAAGTCACAGCCATCAGTATAGAACAAGGTGGTGGGGCTTGGCTGACCCGGTCTGCCTCCCTCCTTCCCACAAACGAAGGGGGCAGGTGGGGCAAACTAGTTTGTTTTCATTGTTGGGACGTTCTTTTGGCAATTTTGGGGCTGTGGTCTTTTTTTAATCATGCAGTAGTCTATTTTAATTCTCCTATCTCTCTGAGTGTCTTCACTTGGATGGTGGCAAAGATGATAAACTTTAAATGTAGAGTTTATAGGCCATTACTTCCTGTGCCACTCTGAGGGGGGCCAGTTTCTGGCTCATGGTCCCCAGTAGACCAACAGAACTCCAAGAAAAGGCTTGACAGAAACGTAACTAGCACAGCACCACAAAGTTCAGTTCTAGCACAAGTAATATAAACGATCTACCTGAGGAGATTCAGTGTTACATGTATACTTTTGCAGATTAAGTTACTAAGGAGAGTTAAAGATTTAGATAATACCAAGGCCATCAAAATAACCTAGACAAAATAAGTGAATGGAGCAAAAGGTGGCAGATGGAATTTAATGTGGGCAAATGCTATGTCATGATATTTGGAACAAGGAAAACAAACCACAAACAACCTACAAGTGAAAAGTTATTAAAAAACTCAGACAAAGAAAGATACCTTGAAGAGGTTCTGGATATTAAATTATCACCAGAGGACCACATCAAAGTTATTTTCAGAGAAGTCTATATTATACCTGCAAACTTTGAAACTCTTTTAAATACACGGATAGGGTTATACTAAAGATAGTTTTTAAAACTAATACGACTGAAATTAGAGTATGCAGCAGTTGTATGGTGTCCTTATCTAAATACGCACAAACAAAATAGAAAATATGCACAGATATGCTACCAAATGCCTTCCAGATGGAAAAAACAAGAGCTGTGAAGAAAGATGAGGTGCTTGACAAAGAAATACCTGTAGAAAGAAGGAGAAAGAGGACATGTGAATAAGAATACAAAATCACAACAGGAATTGGCAAAGTTTACAAGGAGGAATTTATAAAACCTGAAACATCTAGAACAAGAGATTACAAGCTCAAACTTAGAAAGTAAAGCTACCAATAATGTAATGATGTCCAAAGGTTCTTTTCTGATCAGAACTGTAGACTTGGATCAATTCAAGTGAGAAGGTGGTAGATGCCAAAACCATCAGCAATTTCAGAGCCATATGACAAAGATTATAGGAAAAATGGGAAAGCATGAGGAGCTGCAACTACACTTAGGTAATTACTCGCATACACAAGAATTCGGACAAAGAAAGAGATTTAGGGTTGATTCTGGATAGTCTACTGTCACCAGAGGACCAGACGAGGGATGTTGAATGGGGAGATAATGCTACACTTTCTAACTTCAGAATTGCTTTTATATACATGGGTGGTGAAATATTACAAATATGGTTCACAACTTTAGTAAGACCAAAACTGGAATACACAGTGGTTGCATCATGGCCCTCTCGAATAATAAGGCAAGCTGTCCAAGTTGACCCTTATCTAAACCATACACGACTCAACATCCTGCCTGGATGTTAGAGTATAAACCAAGATATCTGGGAAGGGGGGAAAAAGGAAAGGGAGAATAATAAGGGAAAACCAGGGACAATTTCCTTTAACTGTTACAATTAATAAACTGGAAAAGGTGCAAAGACATGCTACTAAATAGCTTCTAGGACTGAAAGACAAGAACTACAAGGAGGGGCTAGAGGTGTTAAATATGCCAAAGCTAAAAGATAGATTTATACATACAAAATAATAATAGGAAATGACAAAAAAGTGACAAAGGAATTCTTGAAACCTGCAATTTCAAGAGATGGTGGTCAAAGACTCAAGCTAAGGAAACAAAATAAAGTGCCAAGCAATTATGACTATATGGCAGAGTGGTGGATGTTTAGTGTAAGTTCAGTGAGAAGGTGGTGGATGTCAAAGCTGTTAGTACTGTAGTTTCAAAGTGTCATATGATAAAGAGTTCTGGGAAGATGGGACACCACAAACAGAGCTTTCATCCTGTAACTATGCTTAGGTAATTACACGTACTGTACCTACATACATACAAACTAGTACTGTAGAACTTTACTAAAAAAGCAAACACATAAGTTACTACTGGGATCTATTAAATTAAAAAAGAAAGAAAAAAAGACTGAAAAGAAAATGTCTGTGACATGACCATATACTATTTGCAAAATATTACATGAGTTGGATAATTCAATCACTAAATTTAAATAAGGTTGTTTAATAAAATATCATATAAAATGATCATATCACAGTTATTCAACAACTACTCCTACCTTCCTACTATGCTGAGGTGAGTGGGGAGGGGAAGGGGGAAGTGAACGTGAGTGTGTTCCACCAGGGGATGGGTTTGGGGGGGCCAGGTTATGGGCCGAGCCGGCACGCTTCAGACTACCCTTGCTAGCACTTGCTACCTGAGCAAGCAAGCTGCCAAGGGTACGACGTTGCGTCTGTAGAGTGCCAAGATGTGGAAGGAAAATTTATGTCAATGACGATTATTTAATTAAAACTCACAAAATGTTAGATTTTTCTGAAACTAAAGCCTTTAAACATTAATAATATTTCATTGCTTATATTATCTGTAACAAAATTTGAAGTAGGAAATTTTGAAGAATTAATAAATGATAAAAAGCAATAACAAGGTGTTAACTAAAATAAAGCACTCCTTTCCATATTTATCACTCGGTTGCTTCCTTGGGCAATATCCACTCCTTTAGGGTCATTACACACTTCAGTCTAGGCCAGTTTCTTTTTCATTTCCAACAAATCTTTAAACTTTTTAAAAGACACACTTGCCAGGCACAAGATGAGGAAGGAAACCATTGGAGAATTCTCAATGCAGCCCACTGAATGACCATCAAAAGGTACATTCTTTTAAATTTAAAATTTTATTTTTTGCCATACACTTATCCCATCACTCTCAAGCAATTGGCTACTCTGCTGCAACTGCATAGAGGCAATCTAGGTTGCCCAAGAATCAATTACCAAATTTGCTATAAAGTATTAGACAAAATACCGAGTCTTAGTTTCCTTTCTGAGCCTTAGCAAAAATCAGGGTTGAATGTAATGAAACACCATTTTCTGGGTGAGCCTCAGAGGCTCCCTACAGCTATCGGACTGATATACGCCATATTAGTCTGGGGCATCAGTCAATTGGAGTTCAGCCTACTGGGGGCCATGAGCCAGAACCTGGCCCCCCTCAGAGAGGCAAAGGGATCAATAACCTATGGAACCCCCCCACCCATGTATTGGGAGATATTCAATGTCTGCCATCGACCAGGGTTAGGCACTCAGAAAGGTAGGCATAACAAAACAGACCCCACACGGTAATAAAATTGCAACCGATGATCGAACAGAGAGGCAGAACTCCCCCAACTCTAAAGAAACAAGCAAATAAGCAAACGTCATACACCACCACTGCACCGTTTGTCCGTGTAGCCCTCCCCTTCTTGGGAGGGGAGCCCTGGATCCCACGTGCTGGCTACTCTCACCTCCATTTCAGACTCTGAGCATCAAAACAAAACAAAAACCGCCGACCAGAGGGATAGAGGGTGTCAGGGAGCCTCCGGGGCTCACCCAGAAAACCAGCGTTGAATGTGATGAAACTCCATTTTCTGGGCGAGACCCTTCGGCTCCCCGGAGCTATACTGGGCTGATGTGCATTTATTAGACTGTGGCAACAGTCAATCAAAGAAGTTCTAGGCCTACCGGGGACCAGAGCCAGAACCTGGCCCCCTCAAGAGAGGTACGAGGAACAATGGCCTAAAGACACCCCCATGTACTGTAATTGGAAGCAGTCTTTGTCTGCCATCTACCAGGTCAGGCACCCAGAAAGGTAGGAATTCCAAAGCAAACTACTGCTGATTAAATAATTTGTAAACTGAAAGCCGAACTAGCAACAGAACTCCTCAAACAAAACCAAGGAAAAAAAAGTATGACGGCACAACAAATGTCGTGCATCAGTCTGCACACCCCTCCCCCCCCTCCCTGGGTGGGGGACAGGGGATTTCCAGACCTCCACGCCGGCAACTCTCCTCAGTTCAGAGGCTGAGTATCAAAAACGTGAAAAACCGCCGACAAGAGGGAGGGAGGGATGCCGGGGAGCCTCCGGGTCTCACTCAGAAAATGGCGTTTCATTGCATTCAACGCTGGTTTTCTGTGGAGAGCCCCTTCGGCTCCCCGGAGCTACCTAACCAAAGATAAAGAAAAAAGAGGGACTTACTAGGGAGGTGGTCATCACTCGCTCCTCAACTCGAAGTCAAGACAAATGGCTGCAACCTGCGACCCAAGGCTACACACGCCCGAGAAGGCCCAGGAACATTAACGTGATACAGTGCAGCCAGGAACCTGTTCGACCTCCAAAAGCCCTGTCCCCAAATGTCAGCCCAGGACATATTCCCCAAAACAGCAGGCAAAGCTGCAAACTTACGAACGTCATGGGCACGGGGATAGACCACAGGCTGGCTGGACAGAATAATCCTGCGGACGACCTGCGAGACCCGCGCCTTGGAACAGGGAAGAAGGGAAACCAGGTCCACCGAAAGCGTGTCTCCTGCCACAGAGGCCGTGGCGCGCAGATACCGGTGAAGAGCCGCAACTGGACACAAACATGATGCACCCCCAGCTGAACCAACCAAGCATCAACAACCCAAGGACCCCTTTGGAAATCAGCAGACTGATTCTTCACCAGAAAAGAAGAAGGCTGCAAACGAATGAAATGACCACCAAGACCGAAAGAGCAGAAACGCCTACGCCGGAGGAGAGCATGAAGCTCCCCGACCCGACCCCCAGAGGCCAATGCCAACAAGAAAAGAGCCTTAGAAAAACAGTCCTGAACAGAGGGGCCCACCACAAACCGAGGAGAAGTGAGAAAAAGGGAGCACCCGGTCCAATGACCAGGACAGCTCAAGCGGACCATGAGCAGGCCGGAAGTGAAACAACACCCGAGAAAGCTTGCGGACCGGAGCAGAAGTGACATCCACCCCGAAAGCAAGCTACAGCGGCTACGCCAGCGCTGCATGAAACAAGTCGACAGTATTTGGCACAAGACCTGGTATTTGGCAATCCTGAAACAACTAGGAGAGAAAGGACAAAACAACCCGATCAGAAATCGAAGATAACCTACGAAGAGACAAAAATTGCCGAAAGGACCGCCAGGAAATTTCATACTGCCGTCTAGATGAAACTCGCAGGTGGGACACCATCAACTAAGCCACCTGATCACCATACAAGTGGTGATACACCCGCATCAAAAAGACCAGATGCCAAGAGTGGAGGAGAAGATCGAACCAGAATCACGTAACAGACTGGACCGATCTGCTGAAAGAGGCGGAACCACGGGAAGACCCTCGGGTTAGGACATCGAGCAAGGAGCGACTGAAACCAAGGCTAGCCTGGCCAACAAGGAGCCAACAGGACTACTATTCCTTGGTAAATCTCCAATAGAGCCAGGAACCAGAGTAACAACCAGACCGGAGGGAAGAGGTACAGATAACTCCGCCTCGACCAGTCCAGCCGAAAGGCATCGACCCCGACGGCTTCACAATCTGGGAAGGGCGCCACATAAACTGGAAGACGCCTTGACTACACCGATGTGAATAGGTACACCTCTGGGCGCCCATACGTCCGGCAGAGCCAACTGAACGAGTAGGCGTCGGCCGTCCATTCCGTGGAAAGGGGAATGAACCGAGACAGGCCATCCACCAGGATGTTGGACACCCCCTGAACATGAACCACCAGGAGAGACGAACACCCGAGAACTCGCCAGACAAGTCACCTGAAGCAACCAGCCCAAAGAACCAAGGATCGCATCGAACCCCCGCGGTTCAGGCAATGAACCACCGGGGAGCAGTCGGAATGGAGCCGGATCGTTGCTCCTTGAGCGACCCAAATCCTCTGAAGCGAATGCCACCATGCCGCAAACTCCCGCACGGTGCTGTGAGCTCAACGGAAGGACGGACCCCACCGACCGTGGCTGGCCTGGTTAGCACTTGTCACAAAACCTCAGCCGAGAGACGAGGTATCCATGAACACATCGAGCTAGGGCTTGGGGAGGCGCCATGGCACAGAACCCCGAAAAACCCGGGATCCAAACCCATCGATCGCGAGAGCGGCAGAAGGGATGACCCTGAAGAAACCAGAACATCCGCTGAAGCCAGATCCGACCCGATGAGTAGACCAGCACGGCAAAGTTCAGGCTCCCGCACAGCCGCTCGAACAACCAAAAACAGCCAGAGGCGGGACCGCAGCCGCAACAGCGGCGCAAGAGGGAGACAAGGAAGCGGTCTGAGAGTTCCACACCAGACCCAGCCAAGTCTGAACCTGAGAGGGAACCAAAACGGACTTCCTCCAGTTCACCATGAACCCAAAACCGGCAAGCTGGGAAAGAACCATATCCCTGGTGAGCAGACACGCGGACTGGCTGTGAGCCCACACCAGCCAGTCGTTGAGGTAAGCCAGAACCTGAAACTCTAATAGAAGCAAACAGGTCACCATGACCCAGTAAGGTGTGTGAACACTCGAGGTGCCAGATTCAAGCCGAATGGAAAGCAATGAAAGTGGTAAGCTTGTCGCTCCACGACAAAACTGAGCCAGTCACTGAACCCCAGATGAATCGGGACGTGTACATTAAAATTATAAAACCAAATACGTGTCCCGGAGGTCCAGAGACACCATCCAGGCACCCGGCACCAAAAGCAGCCGGACCTGAGACAGAGTTGTCATCCGAAAGGAGAGGCAAAAGACCTAGGGATTCAGACTAGACAAGTCCAGTATGAATCACAGATCCACACAGTCCCTCTCGGAACTGAAAACAGGCGGGAAACCCACCTGAGGTACGTTGTCGTTTCAACAAAGGAGCGACCCAACACCACGGCAGACCAGAGGAAACGACCCAAAATGCCCACGAATCATGGGACCAGGCAAGAGCAAACAGCGCGAGCCTCCCCTCTATTGCCCCGTCAACTGGGCAACCCACAAAAGGACCGACGACCCCTACGAGAGCCCAACTGAAGCTAAGAGCGATCACTGCGTCAACCAGACGCTGACGGCTCCAGAGGAGATGCCAGCCCCGTATATGGCATTACTGGCTTATGACGATCGAAGGAACCCCGAGACCTAGCACGACCCTTCCGGGTAGGACCTCCATGGCCCCCCCAGAGAACCTACAAGTTCGACAAAGGCTGTCAACTAGATGAAGCCACCTGCAGAAAATGCACCACCGCAGACTCTGCAAACAGCAACGGACAAAAAGGTGATGAAAATCTAAGAGCCAGGGCCCAAGACGATTCCAAAATCTGGACGAGCACCGCCTGTCAGCATACGAGGCAAAAAGCGAAAAAGACACTGCCTCCCTCAGAATCGACACCTACAACTTCACCAAAGTAGCCGGCGCCCGAGCTACCGAAGCAAGCACACCGGACCCTGGCCCGGAACCCAGCTCCTTTACACC